TATTTGTGGCTTTACGCTGGTTGTAGGCGAGTCTCAGAGTGGTTTATACTGGTCCAGTCTTGGTTTTACACTGGTTTAAAACTTGGTTTTTAAAGATTTCTTTTCTAAACTGGTTTCAGACCGAAACCAGAACTGGTGTCAGACCGGTTGAAGACTTGCTTTGTTCTTGGTCCTGAACAAGTCCGGACCAGGAGCTCCACAACCACCTGCACTCGAGTGGACCTTTCTGAACCCCATCAGGTCTGCTTGGCGTGTTGATGAATGAACCTCTGCTGGCTGCAGAGACGAGAACTTGAACCGTCTCACTGTTTGGTCTGAACCTGAAGCATCAGTGTGACTCTGTGTTGGGAATCCATGTGAACACAGACGAGCCCAACATGGAAAAATCTGCATAAATGAATTGAAAACAGCAGATCGCACCAGAAACAGAAGGCCGGCTGTAATGGTGCATATTTAAAAGGATGGAAATCTCTCTGCTGCCTTCACAGGGTTGGTGTCGACAACAGCAGCCGAAGCAGAGTCCATTCAGTGGACGATGCTGAAGTTGTTCTTCATGACTGAATTCATCTCCTCAAATGATATGTAAAGACTTCCGAACCAGCTCGTCAGTCCTGAGCTGGTCCAGATTCCATCAGATAAACTGGGCTGCAACCAACTGCCTCTTTTAAATGACAATTAACCCGTCAGTGATGTTCTACATTTAGCTCTTTGGTCTCTGAGATGCCAGAAAATGGTTAAAAATGTTGATTATCTCGTTTTGTTCACAACCCACTCATTGGTATCAAAACCTGCATACCAACACACTAAGGTGCAAAAACCAGGACATCATGATACCAAAGCATTAAAAACATGGATATTTGGGCTTTAACGTGTCCAAAACCTGGAAGAAACCAGAACGTTTCCACATTTCCAGAGAGCTTAGACCTGATCGTTCACTAGTCCAACGAGCACATCTCAGTTTTGTTGGGAAAATCCACATCAACATTTGGTTTGCATCTTCTGGTCGCGACGTTCGGACAGGAAAGGATAAACTAGCGTCCAGAAGAGAGGAAACTGGGCTGCACACCAGAGAAAATCCACTGCAGACTAAAGCAGGCTTTAATCCTCTGCGTGCAGCGTCCACCGGAGGAAAAAGCCCATGTGGTGAAATATTAAAGTTACATGGGCCTTAGTGGAAGTGGGTCTGTGCAGCGTTAATATTGGATGAGGAATATGGCCGACACTGCAGGGGAAATTCACGTTCCCACAGAGGGACCGAGCAGAGCGAAGCGTCTTTAAAGTTTCATATCCAAACCTGGGTCAGTCTGGAAAAGCAGGTCAGTCGCTGAACCTTTCAACCCATCGCCCTTGTTTGGTACAGATTCACTGTGTTAACAGAGCTCAGATATCAGGACGCCACTGAGGGGAGGATTTTAGAAACTGACGCAAAAACGTCCACGAGATCGTTGACGGTCTGGATATGAGCACCACAAGGTTTCAAAAACCTGGATATTAATGAACTGAAGTAGTAAAAACCTGGATATTAATGGACTAAAGT